GTGGTAGTAGTAGTGGTAGTAGTACTCGCAGTATCTTAGGAGAGAGAGATGCAACAAAAGTACTACCTGTGTCAAGACTGCCAGTACTGTTCCACTACGGCTTCTGTTACTTGCGTCTTCACTGTCATCTTATTGCAGCTATCGGTCTACGTGGACTTATTATGGGGATTTGGTGAAGCAAACCCATTTAAAGATTTAAAGGGCTGACAGAACGAGCGAAAGACTGAAGTCTATACAAACCTTATCCAGCCAACAAGAGCCCCGCAAAGCCCAATGAGAAAGGGGACGTACTGATTCGACCTGGGTATGGGTGTACATGCTAAAGATATTGATATCAAGGACCCTAGGATCCCCTTCTTACACGAGCTCTTGGTCTCGGGCTCCTTCCTCCGAAGGATCTCGGTTTGCTGCTGCTTGGCACTCTCCACAACCATGGAGATGTTGATGGATGCTATAGCTGGCAGGGAGACCGCAACAGGCAAAGGGCTTACGGAATAGGCCTCGCGGCGTGAGGCACTGGGAACAAAATCACGGTGAGCAGGGTCGGAGGTGTGAAGTTTTTAAGACATCTTCTGACTTGCCTCCAGCAAGACTTTGCACATCTTTGCACGCTTCTGAATGCGCCTCCACGGTCTGTGCCCACGAAGAGTCGGCACTCGTCGGGCCAACTAAGACCTGCTGGCCGATGCTGGTAGGGTTTAGGTTTTGGACCGCAGAAGCATCAAATTCGCGAAGTGACTTGGCTTCCGGCTCATCGATGTGATGGCCACGGTCGTCTCCTCAAGGACGGTATGAAAGGCAATCGGTGCAGAAGTCGCTCAGCGGTTGACTGAGATTGTCACAACTGTCGCGACACGTGCTCTCAGAATCGCGAACCCATCAAGCGCCTTCCCTCACGCGATGAAGCCAACTCACCTTTACAAACACATCTTCCCGTGTTGTGTGTTGTGGCACCCCTACATCCAAAGACCCTCAACACTTCAACCCCAAGGCCCATCACCAACCTGGCATGCAAACCCGGACAGGATGCCTCGTCGCCGGTGACATCGAGGAGGATCCTCGGCGTGGATTTTCTGCAATGACAGGATTACTGCTTCAGGGTGCAAACCTCGTATATGGGGTTCAGACAGAAAGCAATCTTGATATGAAGCCGAAACGAGTAGTATCCTCAAGTCAAGATTCAAAAGGGACCCGCATACCCTTTAGCCAGGTACCCGTACTAGCAGCCCCAAGAGAAATCCCCCTTGCCCCGGCAGCGCTAAGCCCTGAACCCTGACGCCAAGTGAAGCCTCTGCTTCTTGCCGAGACGCTTCGAGAAGAAGTCGTATGGTCTTAGGGGAGGCACAGACCAGAAAATCGCCGAGCCTTTCCGGGGTCTGGCATGAGAACTTGGGGCTTTGGCTTTGAAGCTTGGGCGTTAGTCTAGGGGCCTTACTAATTAAAATAGGGTTTTGGGGTATATTATACTATAATTACTAAAAGAAGGAACCCCAAAATTGTATTGGAAATTAAGTCGTTTAGGCCCCTGTATTGCCTGTACTCGAGACGCCGGCCTGCATCTGCGGACACAATGAGAGGCGCGTTCTTGAAGTAGTAGCAGCAGGACACGGCCTTCAATGCCGGACCATGTCTTCCGAGGGTTTAGGGTTTAGGGTTTGGTTTTTTTTAAGCATCTTTTTCCACCTAGCAGTTAAGGTCGGCAGAATCCACAGTTGTGTTTGGGGTTTAGGGTTTAGGGTTTAGGGTTTAGGGGTCTGAACAGGCGATCTGACTCATTGAAGCCGTGGCCTGTGAATGATTCACCGCGCACTGGCTGGTGTCTGCGATTTGCTTCGCAAAATCAGCACTGTACCTCCCGGGCATCGTCAGTGGGGTTTGGGGTTAAGGGCGTGATCCGAACTGCCACCACAGCGTCTATCTCCATATATAATGTATAATATGATATATCACATAACTTACAATATTATATGTATATGTATGTATATAACGATAATGATAATGATACTGATAACGAGAATAAAATAACAACAGTAATAATAATAATACTAATAATAATAATACTAATAAAAATAAGAATAAGAATAATAATAATACTAATAATAATAAGAATGATAATAACAATAATAGTACAATATGAATGCAGCAGGGCCACCAGCCCACTTCTCCCTCCTCGGTGGAGATGACGAGCATCTCCCGCTCGTCATGCGCAAACCTGGAACCGCAGCAAGCAAACTTGTAGTGCCAGTCTTAGGGTTTAGGGTTTAGGGTTTAGGGGTTTAGGGTTTAGGATACGAAAAGTTTGGTCTTTCGAGTAGTAAGTAATACGAGAAGTTTGGTCTCGGGATCTGAGGACTGGTGGCAGTCGAAGCGTCCAGCACTCAACTAGCTTGGTCTCAGGGACATTAGAGTCTTAGGCGAGTCGCACCTAATCACGGACTTCAAAAACTTGCGACACATGCCCAGCCTCAGGATCACCCCAGCACCACTGACCTGAGGCATCCGATGGAAGCAAAGAGTCACTAGACCTCAGATGCTTCCTCAAGAACCTCTTTGATGCAGCTTGGAGTGGGAGGTCGGAGAGTAAATTCGAAGTGAGCTCAGGACATCGATGCGTTTCAGCAGGATGGCCTTCTTCTCGTCCGTGTCCTCAGCTCGACTCAGCTTGCTACGCACTGGAGGCCGCCAGTCATCGGACTTCAAAGGCAAGTCGCATCATGGACGTTGATGACCTGGGCCATAATCATATCTAGGGCCGCAAAAAAGCACATAAGCAAAAATTAGGATCCGGATATCCCATATAGATCCCCTTATAATGAAGCCCAATAAGGTAGGGATATCTGCTGCAAGCATCTGGGCTTGCTTCTTTTGCTCACGGCATCACGGCATCTCATCTTGTGTACTTCTGTCCATGCCCGGGCAGCCCTGAAGCTGCCTGGCAAGTATGACTTTTTCGTTTTGGTCCTACAGTACCAGGCATAGAGAGGCGTAGTGTGCCACCATGCCAAAGATCAGCGACACTACATGGCGGTTCCCGAAAATAGGGGACCCCAATATAGTACCCTAAATAGTAGGATCCTTATTATAAGGATCCCAAATAAGGTAACCCTAGTTTTCGGAAACTCCCACATATGCGTTCTTTCGCTCCTGCTTGACTTACTGTCTTACTCTCGCACTTGAAAGCCGGCATCCAAGCACAAAGCCTTCTCCGGGGCGGACAGCGTCAGCACTTTCCCGGGCATGCACTCGATCTGCGCCACCTTCGCGGGGAATATAGGGGCCTTAAAGCAAGCAGATGCTAACCCAACACCTCACCTCCTATACTCCACCCTACACTTTCACCCCATTTCTCAACCCGCCTAAGATTTCAACCTTTCAAACACCAAAAACACAAAGCACCTCCCAAAGCCAACACAATAATCCCTAACACAACCCAAAACCCAAAGCACCTCCCAAAACAAATACAATAATCCATAACACAAGCTTCCGAGTATCGTATAGTAACTATATAGCGCGCGTGGCTTCTGTTGGCTATCAGCCTTGAGATAGCCCAAGCCCATGGCACAGGAGAAAGCCGGACATGATCGCTGGACATGTGAAGAAGATGGCCCAAATCCCCAAGGCACACGAGAACCAATCTTGGGGCTAGATGCTTGAACCCGAAAGCCTCAAACATCCTGAAACCTGTAGTTAGACCCCCAATGTAAACCCATGACCCCAACAGCCCACATGTATCCAGGCCTCATAGGCATGGGGAGTCAGCGTTTTCAGTTGCGCCCCACAAGCCTCAGAGCTTTCCACGCTTTAGGGCCCATGTGTTTATTCAAGCCTGTCTTGGTGAACTGAAACGCAACACAGGGGCCGCAAGCATTAGAAGTCATGAGAGAAAAGCTTTCGGGAATATTAGCAAAGCATACACACAACGAAAAACCACCCGAAGGAATACTACTCTAATTGTCAGGGCCCCTATGTTATGTCAAAGAGACGTTTTCCGGATCACCCTCTCAGAGTTCAGGAATGCTTCGCGGGACTGAAAACCAACAAATTGCTGGCAAACCCTAAACCCTAAACCCCAAACCCCTTCAACTGAGCTTCGCACGGCATTGATGCAGTTGATGCTCCCTTGGTCATCTCCGACGAAGATGCGTCGCTCGCGGGCTCCAAAGCAGATAGCCTCTGCACTGGCGCTTGCGCGGTGTTGCCTCCTGGCCTTTCTCCTTCCCTCAAGCCAACTTGCTGTACGAACAAAAACACACCAAGATAGCTTTTATTCCACCATGACATGCCCAAAACCCTATTTCAATTCTAAGACTATTCAAGACCTTAGGCCCCCCCAGCCCTCTCAGACAGCAGCCGTGATGTTGGCATCAATGACATTGTCATGGATCTGGAGCCTTTGGCCGGTCAAAGCCTCAGCTCGGAAGCAACTCTCACTAGAATATACTATGATATACTATAGGGTTTAGGGTTTAGGGTTTAGGGTTTAGGGTTTATACTATCCTATACTCTACTATGGCATACTATAAACCTCTCAGAGAAGTGCTTCCGGTGCTTAAGGCTCGAGCATCCCATACGTACAAGTCATTCTTGATGGGAGTGACAATCTCCAAGTTCCTGCCAAGGGGCCAAAGCAGATCTAATTAGCGTGTCATGGTAAAATAAATGTAACTCCGGTGGCAAGATGGCGCAAGTTCAAGCGCCGGCTGCTGCATCGGCATTGGAACAACATCTGACATATTGGTACCGACCACAACCAGATCGAGCAGCCATAATTTGCAATCGAAAGCGGATCGTCAGCCGACAGGCAGGCACAAAACAAATGCGTCCCGCCCTGCCTGTGATCAAACGCCTGGCGAGCGCGCAACGAGAAAGTGCTGCCGTCAGCAACCATGACTGCTTTGGAGAACACGAGGAGGGGAGGCCAAAGCGTTGATGGGCCAGTCGGAGGTCATCCTGGGGTCGCCAGCATCTCGGTCAAAGACGACGATCCTGGACATCTGATCTTCGAATGCTCCCAGAGTCGGGAGTTTGGGAGGGTTTATGGGAGGTGTTGGGACTTGAGAGTGTGTCTGCCCGCCCCATGTCCTGATTTAACCCCATCCAAGCAGGGTGCGCTTGTGCAGGGCTTCATATAGGGGCCTTAATAATTAGAATAGGTTTTGGGCCCATGATACTATCATTATATTAAGGAACCCCAAAATAATATAGGTAAATATTCAGGCCCCTATATTATGCTTAGGCCGTGTCGCTCAGGATCCGGCCTGCGACCTGAGATGACCACGCGGTCGCGACCTCACGAGACAGCGGATCGCCCCTGAAGGCTCGATGCCACATGAATTAGTGTTTAGGGTTTAGGGTTTAGGGTTTACTGGGGCTCCCATTAGGTGATGCTTTCCTCTGTGAATCTAGACCCTGATACAGTATGCTGCACATTGCTGCACAATCGTGGGCCATTTCAACAAAGCACCCATCAGACCACCCTAAACCCTAAACCAAACCCTAAACCCAAAACCCTAAACCCTGAACCATAGACCCTGAATCCTAAACCCTAAAACCTAGACCCTAAAGACCCTAAACCCAAAACCCAATACCCTAAACCCAAAGCCCTAGAGACCCTAAACCCTAAACCCAGAACCCAAAACCCTGAACCCTAAAGTCTAGACCCTAGACCCTAAACCCTAGACCCTGAACCCTAGACCCTAAACCCTAAACCCAAAACCCAAAACCCTAAACCCAAAACCCAAAACCCAAAACCCAAAACCCAAAGCCCTAGACTCTAAAC